CATTTTGCCTCACTGGATTCTGATTCTAATGGTTAGCGGAAACAATATTTGTTCACTATATGATATAGAAATTTTTATAATTTTTTCTTATAAGCAAAATTCAAATGACGGAGTTCTGGTTTTAACCAAATTAGATAAAACAATCACACAATTTGTCCAATTTGCAAGGCAAAAAAAAAGTTCATTAATTTCTTCGTTTTAGCCCCAACATTTTCAAAAGTTCAGAAACAACCCTATCTCCAGAGAACAAACAAAACCAAGGGGGAGTCAATGAGGTGGAGAGGAGGAGGAAGAAGGAGGAGGACACTGGTAACACTTGGCGAAGAGGCCAAAAGTGTCAACTTGTTTGATGAAATTAGTCATACTTGCCCATCCTCCTAACCCGAATCCAACCACAAGCACCCACACCACCACGAACGCATTCACCACGTACGCTCCTTTCCAGCCCCCGAGAACCCTCGGCGGCTTCTCCACCGCATTCTGCACGTCGCAAAATCACCAAAAGAATCAAACTTTAAGCAAAAGAGACTGAAAAGTCCTACACTTTAAACGTATATATATAGCTTGGCATATTTCAGCATTTTACATGAGAAGATACCTGGCGAGAGGGAGCAGAGCGGTAAGTGAGCATGTGGGCAAGGGCAGGGATGATATAAACAGTGAAGCTGACGAGGAGGGAACCGACGGCTGAGTTGATGGGGCCGAAGAAAGGGAAGATGATGGCCAAGAACCATATGGGAACCACCACCGGTAACCTAGCAAGTGCCCTTATGCATATGCTCTTTGTATCGTGCATCCCTACCACTTTCTCCCACACGAAATACAACGGCGTACACGCATACCCGAACGTTATGAACTACGTATGATTATAAATGAAAACACTCGCCGAGATTAGAAACGTTAATGATACAAAAGAAGTGAAAATACAAGTCTATAAGTAAAGTGCTTATAAGAGGCGAGAAACCTGGTGGATGAGCATGAGGATAACGGCTGCATCTCGCCACAGAGAATTGGGAAGGAGGGAGAAGGCATTAGAGTGGGTGAGGAGCTGATCCCCGAAGGCCCAATAGACGGCTGCAGCCGATGGAATCGTCATCGTGAAGACGTAGACAGTGGCTAATAGATAGATGTACTTGAACTTTCTCGGTTTCCACATCGCGTGCATGATCTCTCTGCATTTTTTTCATATTTCCAACCGTTACCAAGATCACCATTTAGTTATAAAACGAGTTTTAGAGTACCAATTTTTCTGCAGAAAATCAGACTATAATCTCTACTTGACCTATTTGATAGTTACTTGGTCCATATTGGATAAGAATAAGTACTCACACAGTGACAGCATGACCGCCGAAAGTGTACAATATATTGGTGGCCCCCGTGAAATACAAAACCAGCTTTGTTGGACCAGAATGAGTCACTCCTTCGACCTATTATGTACATAAACAATTGTAATCTTCAATGCTCCTAAGCCCTCTTTGTACGACCCATGTAAATATATACAGCTGAATACTAAGGCAAGACAAGAGATGGACTATGTTACCTGGCCATGGAGAAGAGCGGCGATAGTGAGGTACCAAGCTGTGTAAGTGGTCATGCCGAGGCCAAGGAAAGACCATATTCTGTAGTTTTCAAATGAAGGGATGAACGCTGTGGTTGCACAGCATGCTCCAAATATGTAAGTCCATGTCCTCTTGTCCAGTTTGTCGTTTATGTAGTATATGTTACTGCATCCAATGAAACCCTTTTCGATTATCCACATGAAGAACAATCTCCAAGTTACATAACAATAAGAAATTAAAAACCGGGTGAGGACCTTGCACATGCAATTAACTGGATGACAGATCCAAAGAGCAGAAACGTGCAGTTGAAGGCTAACCCTACAGCCTTCCAATATGGACCAAGTAGACCATCTAACACCTCAAACCACTGCAAATTAAAGGCATATACCGTAACGTTTACAATAAGATCATTGAATATTATAACAGTAGAAATTTACGTAACAACAGATACATAAAATCGGGTATTCCGGTGTTTCAAATGACCTGGATGATATGGTTTTTGAAGCTAACGTTCTCCTTCTCCTTCCTGCTTCTATACTCAACATAGAGAACACTGATGACATAAGCAGTCCAGCTTCCCATAATGCCATAGAATATCTGCAGAACCACACCTGATGCCATCCCCATTTGAGAAAACGAGTATGGCAATGTCAACAACACCTGTGCAACCTGCATTATTACACCCACACGTAACCAAGAACATGTTACAAACTAGAAAAAACCTAAATCATCAACACAATTTCGAATCGATTAGAATAGTTTGAATCGTTGATTCATTGACGAGAAAACGGAAAGAAATTGGTTTAAAAACAAAAAAGAACCTGATTGGATGCACAGCTGAACCAGGCATCATAGACAGAACCACCATCCCAAAGAAGCCTCTTCATGCTAAAGACTGAACCACCATGATCAGTTCTCTCTTCGGACCTCGCTTCGATCTCTGTCTCGTTGGCATTTCCCGCCATCCCTTCTTCTCCTTCCTTCACTGACATAGACCTCGCTGTGATTGAGGAGATTAACAAGAAATGAAATTAAAAAAAAAAAGATATTGTAATTCGGTGGATAAAGTAAACCTCGGATAAAGATCAATACATTGTACATTTGTTTTTAAATTGATGTCTCCTTTATGGTCTCAACGGGTTTTTAGTTTCTAGTTCATGCTTGTAATACGATCCATTTACTAGTGTGAACTCGAAATTATCATACTTTCTTGCGCGATAAGAAAATGTTTATAACGATGATCATCTAGTGTTTTTAAACATTGTGTATTCCATATACAGTTATAAAATATTTTATCTTTATCTCGCATAAATCATCTTCGAAGCATCGATATATGCAATGCATGGCATACCACTATCAGAACCTGTAATTAATAATTAATTACAATGAAAATCTCCCTGAAACTTATTGAATGAAAACCAATTATTTTTTGGATAAAGATTAAATTTCGAATGAGAATAGCCCCCCCCCCCCCAAATTCTGGGTAGTATGGAAATATTTTCACTAGAAAAAAATTAAACAAAAAAAAAAGTTTATCTGCAACTTACCGGTCTCCACTTGGTTTCTTCTTCCTCTTTTGTTTTTTTTATTGGTCTCTCTCTCTCTCTCTCTCTCTCTCTCTCTCTCTCTCTCTGTGTGCGTGTCTGTGTGTGGTTAAAAGGTGAAAAATAACTGTTATTAATACTAAAATGATTATAAGCCTCATCTGTATCTCTCCCTGATACTATTCCTTTTAAAAGTTGATTTTTGTCCTTCAATCTTTTTCAACAGTCCATATGGTGATCAGAGGCGGATCCACTTGAAGATGAATAGGAGCACTGGCCCCCAATGATTTTTTTTAAAAAAAATTATTTATAAAATTTATTAAAGATTTTGAAAAAATACACTTAATGTTCCCATTATAATTTGGTTGTGGACCCTATTGTTGGTAATTTTGAATGTATTTTAAAATGTTATCTAACAAATCAAATAAAAAAATCTATATCTCCTCTATTTTTTTCTTTTTTTTCTTCTTATTTTCCATTTTTAAATTTTATTTTTTATTTAATTAAATAAAAAAATTATACCATATATTTTTATTAATTTTTTTGTATTATATATACATATATTTTTATTTTTGTCTCTATTACAAAAATTTTCTGGATCCGCCTAGCATATACTTTTGTTTGCTGAAACAACTTTTTGGTTTAAAAAAGGATAATAAGATTGGAATTAAATTATGATCCTGAAAACAATTGTCTGTAATTACGAAAAAAAAGAAAACCATTCTGTCGTGACATTGTATCAATGTCTACATCAAATGTGCAACGTGTCTTTCTAATTTTTTTTTTATCACACTTCCTCCGTATGTATTTACACGCTTTTGCATAAATAACCCAAGTTTGGGTGGTTTAGTGGTGAGAGAACATGCAAAGCATGTTAGGTTCAAACCCAAGGATGGACATTCACATGGACTTCTCCAGTCCTCTGAAAGATGTAGTTGGACAAAAAACCCGGTGAACTTCCGGGTTATAAAACAAACACTGTTTAAGTTATTTTTATTGAATAATAATTATGGCAACATATTATTCATAAAGATATTCAATTAATGTATAAAGTTACTAGGGAGAGCATAAAAATAGTTAGGGGTGTGAGTTTCGATATAGCTCTTCATAACATAACCTTAGCGAATAAAAAAACGATACAATTGTCTAAAATTCTCAAACAATAATTTTCAGACAATCCAATGTTCTAAAATCGAATTTTAAAAAAATTCAAAAAACAGAAATTATTTTTAATCTAATTTTTTAATAAAAATCGGAACCAAAACCGGATCGAATCAAGTATAATATAAAAACCGATTCGAACATATTTTATAGAAGCAAGATAATCGAACCGAACAATTATCGAATCGAATCGAATATCGAAATGTCCACTCCTATAAATAAATAATTGTGATTAATCAATTCCCAACAAAATTTTCAAATTTACCATTTATTTAACAAAATGCCACGATTTCCGAAAGGAAACAAGTACAACGAGGCTTAGTTCTCGCCTTCTTCTGTCCCCTGAGTCTGAGAGCTAATCCATCTTTCTGACCCAATCCCGAAGAAACCAGAGAACTGAAAAGATTGGATCCGAACTGTACAGTGTCCGTAAGTATTCGTGGGCCCGTCTACATGGGCCGCAACGGCCCAGTAGCCATAACAGTTTGTAACGTATTGATTTCCATATCGTATATTTATTTTATCGTATACGGTATTAATTTCTTAACGGATGTTTTTCATTTTGTCACATCGGATTCTGATTCTGGTAATGGAAACAAAATATCCGTTCAATATATGAATTGTGAACTCGGTGAAAATTTCAAACGATTTTATGATTTTATTTAGAAATTTATCATATTCTTCCTTTTAAGCAAAATTCAAATAATGGAGTTCTAATTCTAAGCAAATTCAAAAACAATCACACAAAAACAATTTATCCATTTTGCAAGGAATAAACAAAGTTCATTAATTTCTTTGTTTTAGCCCCAACACTTCTAATACGCGCGGAAACACACCTATCCCCAGAGAACAAAACCGAAGGGGAGTCAATGAGGCGGAGAGGAGGAAGGAGGAGGACACTGGTAACACTTGGCGAAGAGGCCAAAAGTGTCAACTTGTTTGATGAAATTAGTCATACTTGCCCATCCTCCTAACCCGAATCCAACCACAAGCACCCACACCACCACGAACGCATTCACCACGTACGCTCCTTTCCAGCCCCCGAGAACCCCCGGCGGCTTCTACTCCCGAGAACCCGCGGCGGCTTCTCCACCGCATTCTGCACGTCGCAAAATGGCAAAAAAGTCGCAGACTTTAAGTAAAAAGACTGAAAAGGCTTACACTTTTAACGTATATAGCTTGGCATATTTCAGCATTTTGCATGGGAAGATACCTGACGAGCGGGAGCGGAGCGGTAAATGAGCATGTGGGCAAGGGCAGGGATGATATAAACAGTGAAGCTGACGAGGAGGGAACCGACGGCTGAGTTGATGGGGCCGAAGAAAGGGAAGATGATGGCCAAGAACCATATGGGAACCACCACCGGTAACCTAGCAAGTGCCCTTATGCATATGCTCTTTGTATCGTGCATCCCTACAACTTTCTCCCACACGAAATACAACGGCGTACACGCAAACCCGAATGTTATGAACTGTATATACCCGCAGGAAAAAAACAATCACCAAGATTAGAAAACGCTAACATACAAAAGAAATGGAAATGTGAGTGTATGAGCAAAGTGATTGCAGAGGTGTGAAACCTGGTGGATGAGCATGAGGATGACGGCTGCGTCTCGCCATGGAGAATTGGGAAGGAGGGAGAAGGCGTTAGAGTGGGTGAGGAGCTGGTCCCCAAACGCCCAATACACAGCAGCCGCTGATGGAATTGTTAGTGTGAAGACGTAGAGAGTGGCAAATAGATATATGTACTTGAACTTTCTCGGCTTCCACATTGCGTGCATTATCTCTCTGCATTTTCATTCCGACAATACGTTACAGTCTTACCAAGATCACCATTAAGCTACAAAATTAGATTAGAATAAGTGAACTCGAAAACATAAATGAATAGAAATTCGCTAATAGCGATTGTTCAGCTTAAAGTCGGACTATAATCACTGCTTGACAGAACGTTTAATACCAAGAATCATGCGTATTTGGTTCAATGGACCGCTAAACGAAAGCATATGGGACCCCAAGAATTAGAAGATAACAAGTACTCACACAGTGACGGCATGACCGCCGAAAGTGTACAGTATATTGGTGGCCCCCGTGAAATACAAAACCAGCTTTGTTGGACCGGAGTGAGTCACTCCTTCAACCTGTTATATACACAAACAAAAAAAGATGCGTTTTCATTTCAGAAATTGTAATCTTCAATGCTTTCAAGCCCTCGAAGCTTCGTTACACGAGCCATGTAAATATATACAGCTGAATACTAAAGGCGGGACACGAGATGGATTACGTTACCTGGCCATGGAGAAAAGCGGCGATAGTAAGGTACCAAGCGGTGTAAGTGGTCATACCGAGGCCAAGAAAAGACCATATTCTATAGTTGTGGAATGAAGGGATGAACACTGTGGTTGCACAGCATGCTCCAAATATGTAAGTCCATGTCCTCTTGTCCAATTTGTCGTTTATGTAGTATATGTTACTGCATTCATTGAAACCCATATTGATTAACCATGTGAAGAACAATCTCAGGTTACAGAACGACAAAAAAAAATCGGGGAAAAAAAACGGATGAGGACCTTGCACAGGCAATTAACTGGATGACAGATCCAAAGAGAAGAAACGTGCAGTTGAAGGCTAATCCCACAGCCTTCCAATATGGACCAAGTAGACCATCTAACACCTCAAACCACTGCAAATTAAAGGCATATACCGTAACGTTTACACTGAGATCGAAGCTTTTTTACAGTAGAAATCTGTGTAAATGATAGTTACATCCAATCGAACTTTAAGGTAATTTTGTGACCTGGATGACATGGTTTTTGAAGCTAACGTTCTCCTTCTCCTTCCTGCTTCTATACTCAACATAGAGAACACTGATGAGATAAGCTGTCCAGCTGCCCATAATGCCATAGAATATCTGCAGAACCACACCTGACACCATCCCCATTTGAGAAAATGAGTATGGCAATGTCAACAACACCTGTGCAACCTGCATCATTATCACAACCCCACGTAACCAAGAACATGTTACCAACTAGAAAAGCCTAAACTATTACGGAATTTCGAATCGATTAAGGCTACAAAACCCATGTAACATGTAATCTGAGTCTTTGATTCGTTGATGTAAAGCCGATGAAAAGTAAGGAAATGCGGTAAAAGAACCTGATTGGATGCACAGCTGAACCAGGCATCATAAACAGAACCGCCATGCCAGAGAAGGCTCTTCATGCTGAAGACCGAACCGCCGTCATCAGTAGTTCTGCCCTCAGATCTCGCTTCAATCTCTGTCTCGTTAACATTTCCCACCATCGCTTCTTCTGCCTGCTTCAGCGACATCTTCAGGTCCTCGCTCTGATTCCAGGAGACTAACCAGGAAACTACAATCGAAAGTCTCAGACTTTGGAAGAAATATTACAAACCCAGAAGCCGAAACGAAACCAAACAAATGATGAACCTCGAGACTCTGGGTTTGGATTTGTATTGATCTCGAGAGGCAAACAAAGGGGCGGAAAGAGGGCAGAAGACCTAGATGGGGAGTTTTTCGTTTTTTTTTCTTGGGAGGGTGAGATTATGCGTGAACCAGACAAGTTTCAGAGAAGGGAGAACTTGTGTAACCGAAGGTGTAATTATACAGAGAGACAGGGCAGGCAAGTAGACACGGCAGAGAGACAGAGTCTGCCTTTTAGAACAAGGAAAAAAAACACAGTCTGCTTTGCTTTAAACGGGCTCTGTTTTCTGGGAACGTCAGTTACGTACGTTTTCCTTCTTTTTTCCATTTTTTTTTATAAAAAATATTGGCATATTAATTAGGGAGATACTAAATTAAAAACCACCACAGCCTACATTTCAATTTGCCCGTATTATCCGGAGATAAATACAATCATCATATTAATTTTCTTGCACAATTTCTTTTATAATCGTCCATTTAGTTTATACATGTAACGCATGGCTTATCTACCTACTGAAAAGAAACCTGTAGTCGTCATGATTTTTTCCCAGAAACTGCTGAAAAACTAAAACGGAAAACTATTATTTTTTGGATAAATTAGATGGAAACTTTTGAATGAGAATAGCCCCGAATTTTTTTTCACTAAAAATAATTAGACAAAAAATAAATAAAAGAAGTGAATTTGGACAAGCAAGAAACCTTCTTGTATAGTTTTGTCTCCACTTGGACAGATTTCCGGAGAAAATCCTTTCTTCTTCCCCTTTCGGGTTGTTCTTCGATCTCTTCTCTCTCTCTCTCTCTCTCTCTCTCTCTGGTCGAAGAGTGGAAACAGAAGTGAAAGGAATATAAGCGGCTGCTTCATGGGTCATAAAAAAAAGCTAAGGTAAATATTATGTTCTTTTTTTTTTCTTCTTTTTTGGTCAAAAGGAAAAAAATTATTATTATTATCAATCATAACAATGATGATAATAATAATAATAACTATAATGAAACCTTATATATACGTCTATCACGGCTGTTGGTTTTTTAAGTTGATTTTATCTCTCAACCCTTTTGCCTTTTGCTCAACATTCCATGTGATGATACAAGCCTTGTCATATTTTTGGTTCACAAAAAGAAAGAAGATGAATAAGGTTGGAGTTAGATAATGATCTTGAAAACAATGGTCTTTTGTCGCATTGTATCAATATCTATCAAATTCGCCAACGTATTTTTGAATATTCACACGCTTCTGAATAAACATTTTAAGTTTATTTTTATTGGGTAATAGTTATGGGGAAATGTCCTTATATTAGTTGTAATTTTATCAAAAATAAAAGGATTAAAATCCATATGTATGGGTAACATTAAACTTTTCATAAGAACGCATAGTTGTTTGATTTTCGTGAACAGGAGAGAAGGAAATAAAGAAGTGGCTTTACGGCCTCATATGAGAGGGGGAAAAAAAAGAAATTTTGGCAAATTTTATTTGTTTAAATTAAAAGTAATAGTGAAATATAATATTAGCTATTTTCTCTCTCATTTTCTGTGTTTATAAGTATAAACGAAATAAAAACTATTTAACTTATATTTTTAAAAACTAAGTATTATGTATAACAAATTTGTATTATTTCTTATAATTTTAACTAATTATTTTATATTTTAAAATAAAATTTAAAACCATATATATGATCATGAATAAATAATATCTACGTGATATCTAATTTTTAAATGAAAAAAACAAACTAAAAATAGATTACGAGTTGGATTAACACAAAATATGGTAAGATTTTATATAAAATACATCAATAAGATCTTATTTCCTTCTAAAAATAAAATATATACAACAATAATTCTAAAAGAAAAAAACAAAAATAATTGAATTTTAAAGAATATACAAGGTAAAATATATATATATATATATAATATAGATATATGTATGGTATTGAGATATCTAGATGAATAGGCCACACCATGCTTGTGTTTATGTAAAACCACTAAACGAAACATATAATCTGCCGAATAATCAAACCTTCCATTAGATTTTTTTTTGGGGGGGGGGCAAATTAGAACAAATAAAAAACCATAATGGTTTACCAAAAAAAAACATAATGAAAAATGGAAAAACAAATCAAACCTTATTATAATAAGTGCTCTAACGGTCAATATATCAATAATATCTTACCCAAAAAATATCAATAATATCCAGCTAGCAAGTTAACGTTATTTATCAGTGGCTAAGTATAAGAATCAAGTAAATTACTCTATCATGATAATGCAATTAGTCGTTGCTTTAAATCAAAGTTAATTACAAATACCTTTTATTTTTCAAATGATAGGACGTGCCGGTTTTTTATTTAATAACGATAGTATTGGATCATTGGGAGGAAAAATTAAATGCATTTTGTTTTATTTTCAACTCTAAAACAAGAAATATAGAGACAAAATTAACGAAAACAAAAACGCTATTTAAACCTGTACATATAGAAAAAAAATTACAAAAAAGAAAAAAAAAAGGGTTTAAGACATGAAATAAATATGAGACGGGAAACAAAAGACTCATTTAAAACTGGTAAGAAGATCTAACTAAGATCTAAGATTTCTTGTCGGAAGGAAGAAAATAATTTTTATTACCAAAAAAAAAATAATTTAACAGATGAGGTTGACGCAAATATTGACAAAAGGACAGAAACTTTCGTGCATGAATTTGGTGAACGACTCCTCTCTTCATTTGTCAAAAAGTTTCTTTCCAATCTCTACATCGGATTCTTTACTACCATCTTTATACTAAATATTCACATTGTATTTTCGTTAAATTATATATCAAAATGTGCACTGTATTCCATTTTTTAAAAAAATTATTTTGGGTTATTTTAATATATTTTATTAATTTGATTTAAACAAAGGAAAAGCACGTATAAGTGGGTGGAGGGGCCCTTTCATTTCGTTTGCACAAAGGTGATGTGTGTCTCTCTCCATCTTCGTATGAATATATTATATAGTTTGATTAATTGCAATGATTCGTTATAATGACACGTTGGTTTCAGTCCACTCAGCACTCAATCCAAATTCAAATCCTATGATTTTATGATATTATAAAAACATCTCCGATTGGTTATTAACTTATTATAAATAAAAGAGCTATATAATCTCTGTTTTTTTTATATGTTCCCATATTCGTTTATTAATACATTATTGTTGGCGTTGTGAGAACAGCTGTGAAGTTCATAATAAACATGCGTAATATAAAATAAAAAGAAAATGTCGCGAAAGAAAAATCGAAATAAATTATGTTCCATTCAAACCAAATTCATTTTTGTTACAGTGTCTATCTATGTATATATTAGTTTTAAAATAAATAACGTGGCGGATTGAAATAAATTTCAACCGGATAATTTTAACTATATACCACATATAAAAAAAATATGAAAACTAAAAATTTGAAATGTTTGCCCTACAATCGGTCCGGTCCGATCCGATCCACTCCAAATCCGCATCCGGTCGGAGAGTTTTGGATTCGATATATATATATATATATATATGTATAATGTTCCGTGCTTTTATCATTTTACCAAACCTTTATTGCTTATCCTTAGTATTTTTTTTAAGGCTTTACGCAGTCCTATATTCATTTTGGATATCATAAACAATTAATTAACTTTAATGCTCATTAAAAAAAAAATACGAAATAGGTTTTGAAGATATGATTTCTATAAGTTTAGTTCCTCTTTCTTTTAGTTTTAAACTTTATGGTTATTATCGTGCCAGTGCTTTTTAGATTCCTCTCTGTTGAATTTCTTTTTTTATTTATAATATCATATTTATTTTCTATTAATAAAAACAGTATCAGGATCTCTAGTGCAAATAAAAGTAAGTCCGTAAAGATTGTATTAAGACTTATCTAGAATAGAGAAAACGCATCCTTATTTTATTTAAAAAAAATAGAGAATTACTTAAAATTATACTATATTTAATAGGATATATATTTTTTTCTTTTAATTTGTTTTTATATTTCTATTTATTGATTTAAAAAAATCATAACCATTTAATTATATATATAATTAATTAATTTTAATGTGTAGCCTTCCAAATTAAATTTGTCTTTATTTAAAATTTATTTTTTTTTAAAATGATTTATGTTTGTTCTTTGTATCATTTTTTATTCTATTTGATTCGAATTAGGTTAATTTGATTTAAAAATTATAGTAAACATTGAATAATATTTGATTTCCTTCCAAAATGGAAATATCCCGTGAAATATTCCTCACATATTCAACATTAGCATTGTTGACAAGCATAATTAACTAAAAAAAATTGATAATTGTGATTATGAGGTGACAAAAACTTTCGTGAAGAATACGCAGGAGTCAACATGCTCACATCATTTTTTAAATAATTGCAGCCAAATTTCATAATTATCGGATACTAAAATAAATTACCTAAATTTTTTAAAATTACATCTATTTAATAACAAAAATTATTGTTTATAACTTCAATTATTAAGAAATGGGAGGTGGTAAAACATAAAAAAAAATACGCAAAATTATGAAAAAAAATAGTTTGCCACTTATATTTGATGACAATCACTCTTCTTCAATCAATCTAATAACAAGTAAAATTAGTTGTTAAATAAATGGACATACATGAACAACTTTGGTTGGTCAGTGACAAGAGTGTTCAAAAAAGCATCTCGAGATGATTATAGAAATGAGTACATATGATAGTTCCCAATTTTATTTAATTTCCGTTATTCTCTAATAAAAAAAAACAAAGCTGCATAGACCATAATTGCAATAATGTACACTCGAGAATTGTCTGATCACGCTGTTTGGTCACAACTCGGCCTCACTCAGGACAAAAGCAGACTCACTTCACCTACTTTGACCCGTCCTTTGTTTTTTTTTTGTTAAATCTGCTTAAAAGCCTCTATTGATAGCCTTAATCATATGATGTGATGACTCATTCAACTATTTTTTTTTTGGAAAATGAATATATATATATATATCTATATATAATACGGAAATCAAAAGATTGGTTCGTCTTTTTTTTTAAAAAAGTTTACTGTTTATTAGGCATGAGTCAAATGATAATTCCGTTATCCTAGGTAATTGTGGTGAAGTGATGGCTACCTAATAACCTCTTTTATTTCAAAGTATATGTCCAACATTTGTTTAAAGTTTTTTTTTTTTTTGCTTGAAAAGGATACAGGTATCAAATTTATGATATATGGTGACACAATTGATAGTTTCTTTCTTTTTTGTGTTTGGTCTATAATCACAACATCGAATCCATTTTTGTTATAAGAATGAATTGGATCCAAACTGGAGTATATCATCCTGGTGAATGGTAATCAATTAAAGTTAGATATTGAGCCAAATTAAGTTAAATGATTCCCACCATTGACTCTTGGACCTTCTTTCAGTTTGTAGTTTTTTAGCCCAAAATGAATAATTGGTCTTTAAGCCCAATAAGGTCCAATAAAGCCCAACAAAGTGGCCGTAGGATCTCCACAGGTCCAACAAATACCAGCCGTTGGATCTTTATCAACCCCATGAAAACCCTAGCGTCTCATATCCGAAGCGAATATATATGCGCCCACTTTTTTAGTGTTTCATTTCTTCTGCCTTTTAAAGCTTTTAGGGTTTTTTTTTTCTTCTCCTTCTGTAGAAACCAGTTGCAGAGGTTAAAGCGACGGCGCTGTTCGCTGTCCGCCTTGTACAAGCTCTAGCTTTGTCTTGGCCCTCGGTTTTTGTCGTAAATCCCATAGTTTTTAGTATTTTTGTAGATTCTGTTTGAGTATCAATGGCGGTGAAACCGACGAAGGCGGAAAAGAAGATCGCGTACGACGCGAAGCTCTGTCAGCTCCTGGATGAGTACACCCAGATCCTGATCGTGGCGGCGGACAATGTCGGGTCGAACCAGCTCCAGAGTATTCGGAAGGGTTTGCGAGGCGACTCTATCGTTCTCATGGGTAAGAATACGATGATGAAGAGATCCGTCAGGATGCATGCTGAGAAAACCGACAACAAGGCTTTCCTCAATCTCATCCCCCTCCTCCAGGTTCGGTCTGTTTCATGGTTTCCGAGTTGTTTAGCTCAATTGGCTTTGGTCCCGAACAAATTTGGTAAAATGACGAGTGTTCGAGATTGTGATTAGGTTTTTTGTTGAAATTTTTGAACAGGGCAATGTCGGGTTGATCTTCACCAAGGGTGATTTGAAGGAAGTGAGCGAGGAAGTTGCCAAGTACAAGGTTCGTCCATCGACATCATTACTCTATTTCTGTGATTTCTTCCTTAATCCTTACTCCTTAGACTAAGTAGATGGTAATAACTTGTGGATTTATTTTTCTTAGTTCTGTATAGTATCTTCTGCTTAGGCTTAGCATTATAATTTCTCAAATAAAGTCCTTAAATATGGCATCAAAGATTCAAGTTTTAGTATTTTGGATCATAAATGTTGGGTATCATCTCTTGACAGGTTGGAGCTCCTGCTCGTGTGGGTTTGGTTGCTCCGATTGATGTGGTCGTGCCTCCGGGAAACACCGGTCTTGACCCATCACAGACTTCTTTCTTCCAGGTCAATCTCTTAAACACCATTCAGCTATATAGTTCAATTTGTAATGAACTGACCCTCCTGTTCTGTTTGTCTCAGGTGCTGAACATTCCGACCAAGATTAACAAGGGTACGGTCGAAATCATCACCCCTGTGGAGCTTATCAAGAAGGGTGAAAAGGTTGGATCATCTGAGGCTGCCCTTTTGGCCAAGCTTGGAATCCGACCCTTCTCGTACGGTCTCATTGTCCAGTCCGTGTACGATAACGGCTCAGTCTTCAGCCCTGAGGTGCTTGATCTGACCGAGGATGACCTTATGGAAAAGTTTGCAGCCGGTGTCTCCATGGTCACTGCCCTGTCTCTTGCCGTGTCTTACCCAACCCTTGCTGCTGCCCCTCACATGTTTATCAATGCTTACAAGAATGTGTTGGCTGTTGCCGTAGCCACCGAGTACACTTTCCCTCAAGCAGAGAAAGTGAAGGAGTACCTTAAGGTTTTGTTATGATTCAATCAACTGAACTTACTTCCATGATTATCTCTCTTTTCTCGGTTATGTTATTGACATGGAAAACCAACGTAGGACCCGAGCAAGTTTGCCGTTGCTGCTGCCTCGGCTGGGGGAGAAACTGGCGGTGCTGCTCCAGCTGCTGCAGCTAAGGAAGAGGAAAAGAAGGAAGAACCTGCAGAAGAGTCGGATGACGACATGGGTTTCAGCCTTTTTGACTAAGCGACTATCATCATTCAGGGTTATGTTTCGTTTTCTACATAGTGATACATTTGCATCTTATGGTGTTTCATTTTCATTGCTTCTTCTCTTATCTTTCTGTTGTCTCGTACCCTTTATTGGTTTGACATTGTTATTTTTATGTTTAATCTTTGGTCTAAAGTATATAACTTTATTGCTTCAGAATTCTCAATTGAAATCCAAAGGAATCGTTCGGTCTTTTATACTTTAGAAGCAGCGACGATTTGGACTGAAGTTACAATAGTTGAATTTATGTAAAGCCCAAATCGCGTCACAAGATATAACAACGACATTTTGTGCCTTGCGTTAGCAGTCTAGTGTCGTGGCCCCTTTTATTGCAAGTTTTATTCCTAGCCCCGACCCTCCCGCTCTTTGTTTTCTCCTAGCTTTTCTTGTGGAATGTCTTCTATATATTCTAGTGTGTGTGTATGTATACATACATACATATATATGATAAATGTTGTCGACCCTTTGCTTGTTAAACCCAAATATACCATCGCATATTAACATATACGGGTTCATGCACATATCTATACATACTGTATACATACTGTAATGTTATGAATGTTGAAACTGTTCCATTGGCTAATACAAGAGCATATTTTTGTACACTTTTTGAGAAAATTCATTTTTTTGTGATAGATAAACGAAAAGTATCTTATTAATAGTAATTTAATCAGTTCATTAAAATTATCGTTTACTATTTAGTTTGATACCCATATAACTCTCATATTTGTCATATCTTTTTTTTTTTTTATTTCGGTGAATTCGATTCGTCTCTATATTCTTCTCATCTAGAAATCTACCAAAAAACACTTTCTATCTTTAACCTTTCGCACCGACGATCATTCATCAATTTTATCGGTATGGGGATATCATATATATATACATATGTATATATGTGTGTGGTATACATTATGGAGTACAAGGGATGATGGTTTCTCACGTTCTAATTGGATATATTTGGAATTGTTCAAAGAAAGGGCAGTAGCATGCATACTGCTCTTAATTTGTTTAATGACATTATTATTGTTATTATTATTATTATGATTGGTAAAGCAAATGAAGAAAGGAATATATATATATATATATATATATATATATATATTATGGGTGACAGAGAATGAGAGGAACATGTCGTCCCAAATGAAAATTTAAAAAAAAAAAGTGGATGGTAATTACATAAAATTTATGCCTTTTCATGGATAATGACTCCCTAATTGGCAGCCAAATTTCCGTCGGTCGTCCCTCCATCCACACCATCTTTTCCTTCCTTGGTGACATCATCACTATAAAAACAATGTATATTTATTTATAAAAATTCTAATTAATAATAATAAAAAAGGATAACAATAAGAAGATGCTCCCATGTTCTAACGTTATCTTATTCCGAGTGGATATGCATCATCAATTTGGATTTTTTTTTCCTCGTTTTTTCATATAATTTCAATATATTATTAATTTTATAATGGTTTGTGTAATTTCAATATATTATTTTTACGTCTTAAAACGCCTTCATGTTTTTTTTTTTGGCCGAGTGTCTTTCTTTATGGAGATGTAATTATGGTCAATACAGTGTTTTGTTGTAGCTCTTTTAAAACATGAGTTGCTTTAGCTTCATCTTCTTTCTGAGGCATATTACAATACAATTCGTAATTTATAATTATCCTTGAGGGGAAAAAAACTATTATCATAAATCTATATATATTAATAAAGGAGTTTAAAGGATTCTGGTGAAGCCACCTCATCCTCCACCTCATTATCTATGTGGTATTTTATTTTTAATTTTTCTATGTCATTTAAAAATTCATTAAACTAATGAGTAAATGTATATAAATAATTAATTAAAAGTTTTAAAAAAACATGAAATAAATAATAAAAGTAGTGGAGGTAAATATACATTTATAATTTAAATGTAACGTATTATAGAGTGGGTTAAATTTAATAAAATATGTTAAGATTACGTTACAAAAAATAAATAATAAAAATAGTGGAGGTAAATATAATGAATTTTTTAAAGGTAACGTATTGTAGCATTTAAAAATTACAATATGAAACGGAAGATTTATGTGCGTGGTATTCATTACCCCACTATGAACCCGAGATCAATATATATATAAAATCGCGAGCAAGAAAAGATCACTGGCCACTTAACAACAATAAAAAATTTGCATCTCCATATGAGGACCCTAGCCACCCGAGTATCTGGGTTTCAAGATTTTTCAAGAGGAGGAGAGATGATTTCTATAATTTCTATAATTACAACACAAAAGTGTGGCGCATTCAAGATCAAGCGAGATTTCAAGAGAGAATCGAACGAAGCCACAATGAAAACTGAAATCCAGAGAGCCATACAAGTGCAGCGAGAGAGATAGTATCGGTTAGACAGCGACAGAATTGGACCGCCATGAAAAAAGGATCACATCCAGCTGGAAAATTCGTCGGGCACAGCCGCACAACCAAGAGAGGGAAGGAGAACATAGTGTTAATTAAGAAATTTCCTTTATATATGTGTGTATTATCTATATAGATATATACTATATATATATTTCATGTATATAATATATATCGTATATATGTATATACATGTATAACAATAAGAACACTAAAAAATCATTATATATCGATTCTATATTGTATCTATGTAAATATACTAATATTTACTCTTCTCCGTAAATATATGATTTTATAATAATTTATATTTTTTCTAGATAAAAAAATAATCCATATTAATACTAAATCTACATAGAATAAATGAATACTCCACAGTTTGGCTACAGTTATCCATATCTTGGGTTTTGATCAAATTTTGTTATTTTATAAAAAAATTCTTGATCATTTTTTATCATTTTTGGATAAGAAAGAGAGAACAGCAGAGACAAAGGTGAGAAAGAGGTCCTTAGCCAAAGGAGCAAGACATGGTGGTGTAGGTTGCGTTAGAGAACGATATTGTGGTTAACATTTAAAGTAAAATTGT